AAATTACACTATACATAATTATTGACACTTCATAAGAACTACAAGAAGATAATATGCTTATTGCTGCATGCACCTCAGTGGTAATCAATCTACATATATATTAGAAGTATCTGTATACAGGGTGTATCAAAAAAATGTACACCCTTTTAAATTCAAATTAACTCGAACTCGTTAAATGATAATTATCCTAATACTAATAGTAATGTATTGTATCCTCTAAGTATAATTGCTAAATCAAAAGGATTTCGAATCGCCAGTTTGAATGTAAATAATCTTTTGAAACATCGATGAGATTCGAGTGATTTTAGAAAAAAATCCGCTGGATGTCCTAGCTATAAATGAGTCTAAAATAGAATTGCAACGAGATCAAAATACCAGGATACGCTTTGTGCCGGAAGGATCGTAATAGAAATGGTGGGGGTGTCGTGTTGTATATCAGAGACTGCTTTTCATTTATAGAGCGGAAAGAACAGATTCCTAATCAGCTTGAGATGGTGTGCGTTGATGGGATAATTGCGGAATTGTACTAAAAGAAAAACTACAGAGATTCCAAAATAGAGCTGCAAAGGTGTTGACGGGAGTAAGTTATGATACCAACTCCTCTGAGCTCCTTGAACGGCTTAACTGGAAAAATCTTGAAAACAGATTTAGATTTAATAAAGTGGTTCTGGTATACAACATTCTTAATAATGGTACTACACTGAAGACAGGGGTGTCTTCGAGAATTCTTTTCTGCCCGAAGCAATAACTAATGACTATCATCTCAGAAATTATGATACAGATCTCTCACTTTCAAATCCTAAGAAAGAATTTCTTAAAAGAAGCTTTAGGTATATTGGAGCTGTACTGTGGAATAGCCTTTCTGCTGAGGCTAAGTCTGCTCATTCGATTTATTGTTTCAAAAGACTTATTTGAATCTTGTTTTTAATTGTTATTCCATTTGTAGCTACACATTATGTTCTGAGTAATACTCTTTTTGGGTCTGTGGGTTAAATTAGTTTTTTCTTCATTTTTATATACTTGTAAATAGCTAAATAGACGCCCCTCATGAAAACCAGCCGTATAGCTGATGAGGATAGCGTCTCTAAAGAAATTAAATACATACAAAATACATACATTAACCGTAATCTATTGCAGTAATTTGACACCCGTATAATTTCTCGAATTAATGAATGCGTGAAAACACAAGGTCTTCTGCACATGGGAATTTAGGATAACTTCTGTTTAAATGAACAAATACACAATTCAAAGAAAAATGTTTAATTAAACTAAGCATTATTCAAGTCTGCATAAGATATAAAATGGGCTAGCTTACTGCAGAGCAACGAATATTTAAAAGGTTATGGCCAATTTGAATTTGAAAGGGTTTACATTTTTTTGATACACACGAAAATTTATACGGGACTTTTTATTGCCTTCGCCATTTTGCTGTGTACGTTATTGGCCTCGTTTTAATTCCAACATGGCTGACACATGAGAAAGGCGCATATGTTATATTTCACATTAAACCATGATTTGTTTGGAGCATTTCATTGGTGCGTGTTCTGTTTCTGATCTTCATTCGTGATAAGCTTTGCATTTCATAGCTCATGAACTGTTAAAGTGTTAAAAATGTTACCCACATACAGTGGTTTCCACTTCGCAGCAGTATAGGACAAAGTTCCTCATACTGTATCTTAATGCATAGTTAAGTACATGAACAATCACCACATTTTCTACATTTTCATTATCGTCAGGCAATTAAGGCTATGTTTTAGAGCAAAACATATGAGTTGTTAAACTGTAACAGTTGCTTTTAAACATGTTACCCATGATTAAGCCGTAAAATTAAAAAATGTCTGTTGAAAGTCAACATGGTCAACAAGACTTTACCCGAAAAAGGTGATGGCCTTGAAGATGAGGAAGATAGTGCCAGGATGGGGTTGTTAGCTTTCCAACACAGACTACACCTGTTAGGGGCAATGACCTGGTTATTGTCAGGGAAATTCAGGGTCTGCATGGATGTGGGGTGAGGTACCCAGAGCAGGGTGGGTGCACCTGTATGATGCAGGGTGGGTGCACCGGTGTGATGCATAGAATCAAGAAAGGCTGTATATAATGCTATAGATATCGATCATAAAAATAAGGAACCATGCTTTCGAAGGAATACATAAAAAAAAACATTCGCCACTGACCTATCTTATAGTTCACCTAGACTGAGTGCTCAAAGGCAAAATGTGTAATTGCATGCGCCATACAGGTCCTTGCGTCGACGGAAGTAACCGCATATTAAGATTATGCTACTGTCTGTGCATGAGCAAAATATATTTTCAAAAGATCTGTTCAGATCAACCTTTCAAAAGATATTTGTTGCAAAACAAATTTGTAATTTTACAAAAGATACTTGCTTGTATTTATGTTACGTCTTCTGCGCCTGTAACTTAAAGACCATATTTAGGGGCGGACCATTAGAAATCCCGGGAGGGGGGGGTGAAAATTCCCCCAAAAAATTCGTGCAAAGGAAAATGCCTGGAAAAAAAGTTCGTGCAGCCATTACGTCAGAGAAAAAAAATTCGTGCAAGCAAACAGCGAAGTAGAAATAGTCTTGAAAAAAAATTCGTGCAAGCAAACAGCGAAGTAGAAATAGTCTTGAAAAAAAATTCGTGCAGAGGTTAAATGCATTAAAAAAAATTCCTGCAGAGACACGAGACTGAAAAAAAAATTCGTGCCGCAAAAATTTTATACCCCCCCCCCTCCTGGGATTTCTAATGGTCCGCCCCTTAGCAACAGACCTAGCACGACTTGGTACTAAAAACAAAATTCTAAATTTGTCCAAGTTTTTTGAGCCTTGAAGAGGCGGTCATGCGAGTTCGTTCAGCGGATGCGAAGTTTGTATACATTTTGAAAACACTATATATTCGTAAAATACAATGCACTTAGTTAAAATCTAACATTTGTTCTAGTTTACTGTACTTTTACATGATAATATAGATTAGGGTTTCAATTTAGAATTTCAAACAACGCGAAATTTGAGTATTGTGTACACCATATAGGATCCTGGCATTGGACAATTAAGCACACAACAAACTTGATCTCATATTTAAGCTTGTAAAACCATGAGCGCGCTGCGCTGCCTTTATATACACGTTTCTCCTTTAAAGTAAGGACCTATGTAAGGTTTTCCGGGAACCAAGATTCAGTAAGTATACAGATTAAGCACTGAATCTAGTATTCGCATATTAATGAAATGTTGGTTTATCTTGTTCTCAGTGGGCGTAACTCTATTGCCTCAGGTGGTTCAGTGTCGTCTTCTTGGGCTTTGTCGGCATATATCATTCGCAGAAATTGACTTTTAAAAGCCTCTCCGTATGTTTGGTCCAGACAGGCATAAATTATAAGTTAGTGTTCCACCTGTATAGAACAAATACCAGTAACGTAATGAGCGGTTGTCGCTATCAACAAAATTTGGATGATGATAATAATAATACACTATCAGACAAATAAAGTGAGGACCCAAACAAAGTATAAACACTCCCACGACAACCTCTAACATTCGGATAGTCTTCAAATCTTGAAGAAAGGCACTTCGTTGGTTCTGATCATTGCAGGTTTGACCCAGTTCACCATTTCTCAGCATCTTTTGTCGTTTGTGAACAACAACAAAAATGAGAGCGTACGTATAACCAGTATAACCACGGTGGGTAGAAAAACTGCACCTCCTGCTACAAAAGTGTAGTCTACTTTTATGTTATTGACATCGAAAGAGCTGCAATATTCGATGCTTGAAAGCAAGATCCCCCCGCTTCCTGAATGAGGAGTGGCGGCGTATGTGGCAAAGGTCAGGGGCGAATCCAGGTTTTTGGATGAGCTAGGAAACCTGAGCTTATGTATATCAGTTCAAAACTCTCTCCCCTCCCCCCCCCACAAAGGCCAGTAAGGACCTTCTTTAAATTCGTTGGCGTGAAAACGAAGAGCGCCTGCTTGCTGCATAACTTTCTGTATGGAAATTGGTCAAAGAACAATACACTGTATAATTTGAATGATTTCACCATTTTTGAACCTTTGACGAGATTGCCGCCTTTGAAACGAATATTTTACTCAAACTTGTAATGTCGTAGATTTATTCAATTACAAATCAAATGAAACTAAAATTGTAGATGCAGGAGATTGTACATATATACATTAACTTATTCTACAGTTTTTATTAATTATTTTGCCAAATGGCGGTTGTAATCTGGTATACTGCCCCCATATAGTGAAAAATCCTGCGTATACACTCTAAAAACAGGTGCGTTCAATTACACACCAAGGTGTGTTTAATTACACACCAAGGTGTGTTTAATTACACACCAAGGTGTGTACATTTTACACACCTTCCTATACAATTTTAGAAAACACACCTTTGTGTGTTAGAAAACACACCATGATGTGTTAGAAAACACACCATGGTGTGTAACAAAACACACCTAGGTGTGCTAAGAAACACACCTGTATTTTACACACCTTTTCGTACACACCTTTGATGCATATAAGGTGTGTTCAATAACACACCTTTTGAATGAAAACACACCTTGGTGTGTTCGAGAACACACCTCATACTAATTTGCAAAAACACATCTTGGTGTGTTAGATAACACACCCTACGCCGATTTTGGAAAACACGCGTGCACGGTGTGTACTGAAAAATGCTAGTAACATACAATAACTCCAATCATCAATCACGGTAATGTATGCTATAATATGTTTTTCGGATATATACAGTAGATGTAAATGGCGATATCGACTTTGCCGGCGATATCAAGTTTTACGTGTCTAATAACCGTTTGATATTTGTTGTGTAGTATTTTATTCTTTCGCATGTAGTAAGAGCATTACTGGGACTATTTATTTTCTAAGAGATTAATCTGTCTTTAGCACACCATTAATATCTGAAATATAGCCGGTAACTGGCCTTTTGAAGCTCTTCGGATCGAAAGAAACGAAAATTCTCACGATGAGCGCGATTTTACAGACTGGTGCCTAGTTTTCGTACTACGCGCGCAAAGCTTCCCGGGATAGCGTCATTTATTCACACCGCCATTACGCCATATTTTTCAAGCCTTCATTCTGAATTTATGGGTTCGAAAAATTCGCTTTTTTTAAGCGACGACGAATGATTTGAACGAAGAGGAAACAGCGAGCATGACTGAATAACATTCAGGTAAGCATATTGTTATGTTATATGTATAATGGAGCAGTTTTGAAAGTAAATATTCGCTATCTTCATTCATGAATTTTGAGCATGTGTTCATGTTTAAAATTTGAATTTGCCGCGACAATATTTGAATTAAAAAGATGATATATTAGTTTTATAGAAGGCTTACATTTGACTTTATATTAAATTATGTTTATTGTATAAAGGGCAACTAATATTTGTGTATATGAATATATGACAGACTACCAGATAACAATGTTTCTGGTATAAAGTATAAATATAGCTTGGCATCTACTCAATCATCATATGCTCAACTACACATGTCCCAGCTAAACATGGTTTGAGAAAAGACTTGTTTCAAATCAACTGCTACTTTCATAAGTTTCTAATTTTTATATATCTAGGTTTTTTATGTCCAAATTCTTCAATCAATGAAAAAATCTATTTCACTGTTAGAGGTGTTATGCACCAGTCAATAAAAACCTATACAACTCATCCCCCCCCCCCTTTGTCTTTTAATTAAGCTGTGGAGCTTCCCCATTAACAAGTAAAATTGTCTGGCATAAGACAAGTAAAAAAATAGGTAAGGCACACTGGGGCGCATTGTGGCTTGATGGGTTTACCAGAGACATTGTCAAATTTTTTGGTCAACCCATTAAGCTGCAGAGTTTCCCCATTGACGAGCAAAATCGTTTGGCGTTAGACAAGTGAAAAAAAAGTAGAGCGCACTGGGGCGCGTTGTGGCTCAATGGGTTAATATATCAGAGAACAATATTTAAAAACATTGTCTTTATAGCTTAAGTCAACAACAAAACGTCGTTAATTAATCAAAGTGCATTATTACTATGTGTTTATTTTCCTGTTTATGACTGACTTGTTTATTATACTAACACAAAAGATTGAATGTCCATGTATAAGCTCTATCCCTCCTATATACTGTAACCCCCCCCTTTGTATAAGCCCACCAAATATATAGCCCAGGGTTTATAGTCCGAGATTTACGGTATTCCATGAACCCATTAAGATGTGATGTTGTGATGGATTAACAGACTGTGTGTGCATGTCTCAGTTACCATTAGCACTTACATACCCTAATTTAACCCATTAAGCTGCAGAGCTTCCCCGCTTTTTCCCCGTTTCCTAGGATACAAGGCCTCATCATGATTTATGAATAAGGTCTATAGTACTCTGATTTTCCATTTAACATACGAGCCTCTAGTCCTGGGATAGGGTACATTTTGATTTACGTTGGACAAAGCTTCAGTTCGGTCGGACACCAATACACTCAGGTCGGACAAACAATAAACCTCAATTTCACTTTGGTCGGACAGAATTTCTGGTGGTTTCCTCTCTACGTCGGACAATTTCACTAATGGGTCGGACAATGTCCATGACCGTCCGATATTTTAAGGCCTGCATAGCTGGATTAACCCTAACCCGTAGTTAAAATTTATGTATTTCTACATACAGTATCTTTTTGTTTTAAAATTATGAAAAGAAAACTCCTATGGTACTGATCCAGACAAGATGTCTAAAGAAATATTTCCAAATTTATAAACAAACTGTCAAGAAGTTTGCTTAATCTAAGGTTAACTTATCGGCTTTCGAACAATCAACCCCTGCATGGTGATTTTGTTTGTCAATGGGGAGTGTGTTGGACTTAAAAGGTTTTAACCTTTCATTGAAGCTAGATTGTCTGCCCGCATTTTGTGTTAACACATTATTAAGATACAAGCCAGACTGCTTTCAGTACTTCATGATTTTACTAACATCAGAGGGTCACATTTCATATTTAACCCTTTTAGATGCAAAGGACATTTTAGTCATCCAGAGGGGGAGGGAGTCTAAGAGTAGAATCTTCTGAGACTGATAATAGTAAGATGTACTAAGACATCAATGGAATGGGGGGGGGGGTTAAATTCCAAGTTTCTTTGTATGTCATGCTTGAAGTTTTCAAGGATGGATAGATCGGCTTAGATAAAAATGTCAATTTGATGTTTTGTGTGGCAACTTGAATATGGACATCTCCCTAATTGGAAGCCGTTAAAGTCCTTTGTTTGTTTGTTCAAACTCATGAATACATTTAGCTAGCTACACCACCCACATGATCTGCTTAGTAAAACCCAATTCACTCCAATTAACCCAGTTTTCAGCACTTTCTTAAATTATGTCACCTTTCCTAATGCCGGACAAGTTAATTTGTGTGTAGCTAGATTTTGCCCATGTTTCATGTTGACATATTTAGATGCAATTTTCCCTAACACTCCCTACTTTAAGTACTTTAATATTGAACTGTGACGTCTCATGCTAGACAATTTTACTTATCGACTGCATGGACTCATTTCACCTATTAACACCGAAGAAACAATTTCCTTTTAAATGTTACCTACTTTCGGTTCTTTCTAGGGGTGTGCAGGACAGTATTTCTGCTATCCAGCCAGATACAGGATATGCTGGATGGCTGAAAAATATCCAGCCCGATTAAGGGTATTATTCAAATAATTATATAAGGTTCAGGCATCATTTAAGGTTAAGTACTGGTAATAATTTTATTTGGTTAAAAAGTAAACAGTCTAAAACTAGTAAACCTCCATCATTGGTAGCAAAAGCCTCGTTTACATCAGTTAAAAGTTCAAATCCCCATTTACTGTACAAACAAGCATTGAAAATACTGATCATATTTATCATATTTTTACTTCAATGATCATGATATGATAACCTTATCAAATCATTTTCTAACCTGAAAAGAAGGCCTGAACCCTATATGAATAATATCCGGCATTGGGTAGCCGGATACCAGATAATGAATTAAAATCTTAATATCCGGCCAGATACAGTATCAGTCCATTGCATCCTATGTCTTGAAATGCCAAACAAATTAACTTTTTAAATGACTGTATGTTGATATTCAATATACTTAGCTAATATATGCACCCTTTTATTGTTAACCCTTTGAGCAGCAATGTGCCCAAGTGCACCCTACTTTGTTATGTTGCACTTAACTAACACCAGACATTTTACTTTGTGAAATGCCAGACAATTTTACTCCTCAAGAGCAGTGTCCTGCTCACCCATTAGGCCGAAATGCACCCAAATGGACCCGCCTTTGTTATTTTACTCTGTCAAACGCCAGACAATTTTAGTCATCAAGAAGAGAGTCCTGCGTGCTAGTGGGTTAAATGACTTAATTACATATGTTATATATAAACTTAAGCTTTTAGATTGTTAGGGATGCACCGGAACCGGTTTTTTAAGTTCCGGCCGGAACCGGATCCGACCGGAACTGGAAAAAAGTTCCGGCCGGAACCGGAATTAATTTATTAAGCCATATATAATTATATGTTACTTTGTCCGCTGCCAGACAAGCAGACACTTCAAATCATTAAGTAGAGAGTTCGCAAATATCAGAATAAAAAGACTGACAAACGTTAAACGTCATAATGAAGTGTTAATAGTGTACATTTCCCTTGCGTAGTCCAACTTTCTTCCTACTGTGACCTTTTGTTAGACACAAAAACGTTTGATATTCTATCTCCCTGAAAACGACAGAGTTCCGGTTCCGGCAATGCTTTTTTCACAAGTTCCGGCCGGAACCGGAACTCTAAAAAATCGGGGTTCCGGCCGGAACTAACCGGCCGGAACCGAGTTCCGGTGCACCTCTATAGATTGTCCCATTGTATATTAATTTTTTACTTATCTTGACACAGGCTTGTATGTTGGATTGATACGACTACCTCTAAATATGGTTAAACTTGGCTATGTGATTCAAAGGTTGTGGTTCACCGAGCGATAAAGAAAATGATACAAAGATGGAATGATTGGATGCAAGTTATTTACAGTGTTTCATATGACAGGTATTCTGATTGTGGAAGATGTGGGCTTGCAATATTTTGACAATTGCATGGCTATAAAGTACGAGACAATTAATATAGTACTCCATTACTCTAATTGCCAGAACACTGCATCAGAATGAGAAGTTGTCTGTTACAGTTCGGTTTAGTAAAAGTACATAGTAAAAGTACATAGTCAACTATGTAAAATGTAATTTAGTCAGTGTCAAATAAATATTTTGTGATGGATAAACTCTGTGCAAATGAGCATGTCTCTAATGTCATTTTACTTTTAATAAGAATATGTAGATGTGTTTTCTAATACACCTCCTTAGGTTTGCTGTGTTATTATAGCATCTTTTGTAGGTGTGTTATGTAACACACCTTAGTGTGTTATGAAATACACCTTACAACGTGCTGTAAACATTACAGACCTGAATGGTGTGTTATACAGCACAGCTTTAGGTGTGTTTTAAAACACGCCATGGTGTGTATGAAAACACGCCATGGTGTGTATGAAAACACGCCATGGTGTGTACGAAAACACGCCATAGTGTGTTCAAAAACACACCTTTATACAAAACACACCTTAAGGTGTGTTAAAATCTGGACAAGCCGAAAACACACCTTAAGGTGGGTTTTAGAACACACCTTAAGGTGTGTTTAACACACCTTAAGGTGTGTTAAACACACCTTAAGCTGTGTTACAAAACACGCCAAAAGCTGTGTTAAACACACCTTAAGGTGTGTTTTAAAACCCACCTTAAGGTGTGTTAAAATTTGGACAAAAAGGTGTGTTAAATTAACACACCTTTTTTTAGAG